ATACTACTTTAGTACTAAAGCACTAAATGGACCCTGGGCATTCCAAACCYGATGCTTTCATCAACTATTCAGTAACAGATGAGAGAAATGATGAGGCTTCATGGATGCCTCCCTCAAAGCCTGTCACTGGCACACCTCATACAGTGAGCCTCAACTCCTACATGCAGAAAACAGAGCTGAGGGCCTTCCCAGGAGGAACTGGGAGTTCTCATGAGTTTGAAGTACTCTGAGATGAGGAATAAGGCAATGCAGTTAGGAGGCACATTTAAAAAGGAAAAGCTGCATTTGATGTAGACATCTTTTCTTCTAGGCCGCAGAGATTTCTCTCTGCTGCCTCTCTCACCTTGCTCAGGTGCTTTTTGGAGGCTGAAATCCTCTACAGTGTAACATTCCATGGATCCCAGTCCTAGAAGCCTAACCATGTGCTGGAACAGGAGTGCTGTGTGTCAGTGGGAGCAGTTCTCTGCCTCTCCCTGCTGTCCCAGGGAACAGCCTGATGCTCTCCCCTTGCACACACACATCCCCTCACCCTGCAGTGCCCCAAACCTGCTTCTTGCTGGCTGAGCATGGTTCTGGAAACATCCAGAGCATTCCTGGTTTGTTCAGCATCCTCCTGTAGWGTAGCTGTCCCCAGTCTGCTGTCTGAGCAAGCTTCCCTCACAGGASATTTCTGTTGATCGAACATAAATTTTTTGTTTTCATACTTTTGCCCCTGCAGGGCAGTGGATTATTCCCTCCTCAGCCTTTCAACTTTCCTTGATGGACATAATTCTCAAAAAGATTTCCCAAAGCTCAGGAAGAGCTGCTGGAAGTTGGGTGCGGGTTTGGAAGCATGATCCACAACAGGCAAGAGTTTGGGAATTCTCAGGAAGGTACTTCTTCCAGATGCAAGCTGGATTATTTCTGATCACGTTTTCCACGTACCAGGCAGGGGTGGAATTCATTCTCCTCGTTTCTCAGATCCTGCCTCAGCTTGTAAAAATCCATCTGACAAATCCACYGAGGCCAGCAGGAGGTGACCCTTGGCACATCAGAATGTGAACAAACCTCTCAACTAGAAAAAGCAGTGGCCTTTTTTCCTCAAAAACCTGTCACTTTTTGGTGGGGAAAGCAAGGGCCTGTGGAGCTCATTGAACTGCAGCACAGATCATGCCTTTTTAACTCAAGGTGTTCATTCTGCCCAGGGCCTGTAACCTCTGCTGTGGTGTCAGTCCCAGCCAGGACTGTGGCTGTGAGGGAGAAAACCTCATGGTGTTTCAAACCATTAAACCAGCTCACTGTATTTCATGTCAGCCTGAAAACCTGACTTGCCTGGTTATTAGAAATGGAACATACGGTACAAATTTAGCAATCCCACGTGTATTTAGCATTTCACAGCAGACAGATTTTACTTGACATGAAAATCTGAACTTTAACCTGTATTTAAATGTCTGGATTTCTTGCTCTAATTTTATGTACTGAAATGTCCTAGTTCCTGGCAAGCCCCAGGTCTTTGCTGGGTAAATGTTCTAAGCAGTGGCTACCCRGTGTGGAGGAACCACTCATATCCTGCTGCAGAAAGGGATTTCAGTGGTTACCCCAGTACAGGACAGGCCCCAGGGACACAGTCCTTGCAGATGTATATTAGTGGGGGCAAAAAWGAGCTTTTCTAACCCTCCATCACATACACAACACACCCACAGTGGCTACAGACCCTTGTGCTGTCTTTAACAGACCACGTGGATGTGATTTCATGCATAAATTRGTCTCAAAATAACAATATTCAATATTTGGCTCATTATGTGTAACTGCAGAAAGAGAAGCTTCAACCAAAGCTCCCAAACCCCCCGACCAATRCCTGCAGGATGAGAGCTGCCCTGCATTGACACAGACCCCCAGGAGAGACCCCCTTGGGCACAACACTGAGGCCACACACACCAGCACACACGTGTGTCTAAGGTTGTTTATTAATTCAGTCTGTTCTAAGTTGTACAATTATGAAAACAACAAAACGACTGCTGGAAGCCCAGGAATATTTACAATCTCGCCTTGTTGTAGTGAGGTCAGTCTATGTTGTTGCACAGATCGGTTATGTTTGGTACCACAAGATGTTTAAAATTCAGACAAATTTGAACAGATTAACAATTGTATATACAGGAAATAAAAGRAAATTCAAGTATCAAAATACAGACAGATTAAATAACATTTGTATTACAAATCAGCCCCACTGCCATACATCACAATTAGCAAAAATGTCCACATTGCAAACTGAACTCGACTGTCTCTGCCCTGTCAGGGAATCCCAGGTTATTCTTCTGTGGGTAAGAAAAATGTCTGAGCTGGGTTGACTTAGCGAGAACAGCACAGGTCCTTTCTTTTGGGAAAAAAAATTTAAGTAATACCAATGTGAGACCTAAAAGGGAGACCTTTGCAACATCACAGCATTGTGAGCGCTGTGCCTGCTCCAAAACACGGATCTGAGCAGAACTGGGGAAATGCTGCTGCTGCTGCTGCTGCTGGAAACTCCTGAGGTGGGTGGAAGGAGCATTAAAGCATTGGCTCCACCTCAGCTGCACACAGAACGGGATGTGTTTGGGGCTTTTTGGCATCTGCTCTGTGTCTCAGCAGCCTCCTGAAGGTACAGAYTTCACTACAGGTACAGCCTGGAATGTGCTGCACCGTCTCCCTGGGAGGGGGGACAGGCGTGTACCCCCAAAAAGTTGTGTRATTTCTTCTAAAAAGAACAATCCCAAAGCAAGTTTAAAATCAGCTGAACAGCTAAGATTAGCGCTGTTTTTTTTTTCTTTGTAAACACAAAATAAAAAAAGGATAAAGCATCTTCAATTTGAAAAAAAAATAATCCCCTCCTACATAAAGACAAAACTCGGCAACTCTTGTTTGCCGGCTGTGAGTGAGGGCTCAGCCCACAAACCAAAGTCTGTGAAACACAATCTGTCTTTAAAGAGAGGAACAAAGCCCRGGACAGCCCCAACTCCTCCCGGGCAGGTAATACAGCAGATGCAGTTGGATGCAAGTCATGTTCAGCACCAGAAATTTGGGGCACTTTCCTCCAGATAGCACAAAACCCTGCAGGGAGGAAGAGCCCGAATACTGCGCAGTGGATGGGTGAAGGTGACCCAGGGTCAGTCTCCAGCACYGAGTCCCTCGAGAGACCCCACCACACTGAACTGCCAAAACAACTGCTCTGTCTGTGAGGTGGGGAAGGGCGTATCTGGCTAAAGAATGGATCACTAAAGACAACCACAGGTTTACACGTGGGGCTGGAACGGACCACCAGGGTCACCGAGCCCAGTGCCTGAAGATTGGAGTCTTCATCACCACRTCACCTCCAAGCCAACCTCCAAAAAGCTCACGTGTCAGAAAGGAAAGGTGTCCCTCCTCCCAAGCAGAGGTTCAATTTGCAATCTCACCAAAGACTTGTTGCCAACACATCAAATATTTACACTTACACCAGTATGAATTGCAACATGTGCATAACAAGGAATGTTAGGTTTCCTAAATTCATCGACTTAACCCAAAATCTCCACTCCCCCTTCCCAATCCTTTACAGGTCTGTGCCCTTGGGATTATGGTTCACTTCCCTCCCAGCCTCACTGGTGAGAGAGACTAAAGGAAATCCTGAAATACAGCAGCAACTGGAGTTAAACAGGAATTACTCGGGCACAGCRTTCCCGTGCGGCAGCAGGTCCCACAGCCCCGACGGGATCATGACGGATGTGCTGCGCTACACTTGGCATCTGAAGAATTCATATCACAACCATTTTAACATTCTCCCCAGAGGGGAACAGTCTGAAAACACGTCAGTCACAGCCCAATCCACTGTAAAACACTCCGAAATTCGGAATAAAAGCAAGCACACAGCACCTTTGAGGTGGTGTCTTTKGGGACACTGGGCTCGGATGGGGCCAAGCCACCCTCAGGCTGATGTGGTTYGTCCTTGGGGATGGACTGTTTCAGTGTAATGCCCAAAATTTAACTCCTTATTTGTTCATCTTCTGAAACTGTTGCACTAATTAAATAATGAGCTAGTATCAAAAAAGTGCTAAATCACAATTGAATATACTTAAAAAACCCCCAACCCTTCAGGGCATAACTGCATTTAAAAACAAGACAGGTGCACAGAGGCTGGAGCAGGGAGTCGTCCCCAGGAATTCAGTGCGGAAATGGGAAGAAACAGGATCCTTGCCATAGAAATGTCAAGTATTGCAACACGACAGTTCAGGGGRTAAGGAAGCTTTGTACCATCGGGGATATTGGCCACAACCGCTCTGGGGTGAAGGATCCTCTGCAGATTCTTTTCCTTAAGTTACTTCCATTTGCTACAGAAGCGTGGAGTGGCTCGGAGAACAGGATGCAGACTTACCCCACCAGGTTCTCACATGAGAGGAAGTGATTTCCAAGAATTTGGCATTCTCTCCTGTTCACCCAGAGCTGAAGCAGAGTAAGTACCGTCAGAAATGCACACACCACACCCCTGCTAAGACTTTCTATCGTGCTCTTTGCCGGACTGCGGGATTCTCAGTAAATAAAATTTTTTTTTCTTTTTTTTTCTTTTTTTTTTTTGTTTTGTTTTCCTCACCAAAAAGCTGCAGTGCTACATTGAAACCGTGAACTGGGTTTGCTTTTGTTTTGTTTTCCTCACCAAAAAGCTGCAGTGCTACATTGAAACCGTGAACTGGGTTTGCTCTGTGTCACTTCGTTAAAAAAGAAACGGGTCGAAAGACGCTTGTCTCAAACTAGAAAAGATGACATCGCTCTCGGCCTCCGAGTCTCGAGTTTTCCTTCGCTAGCAATGGAGAGAGCGGCTTTCCTCGGTGGAGGCTGGGTCCCTTCCCCCCTCTGCTCTGGGAGCCCTCACGGAGCAGCCACGCACCCAACTCCGAGGCAGCCACCCGTGCCAGAAGGAGATGATCTTCACGTCAGGAGGCCACCACGTCCCAGGTCTCTGCCCCGCTACTACATCCTGTGGTAGGAGACGGCTGCCCGGAGCTCAGCTTCGCAGAGGCAAACAGAAAGGAAGATAATGGAATGAATTTCCGAGTCATACAAAAACACCTGCTGGGAAAGGCGAGGCTGACGGCCCGGAGGTGGGACACAAAAACCGTCAGGGCTACGGACACAGAGCGGCAGTGGCGTGGTTTGGGCAGGGCTGCTTGGGATCCCTGCTGGGTTTGGCCACCCTTAGAAAGGCACATGCTCTTGTGACCCAGAGTTGGGGGGCGTGGAGGGACCTGCCCTTCCCAGCTGAGAGCAGGGGGAGATGAAGAGCTCAGACCCTTTGACATAGGGTGGATGTGTGGCAGTTGCATGGTGAACACCTACATGTAGGAACTGTTCTRCCACCCACATCAGGGAGTGAGTTTCTCTTAGAGGGACACAGAAACCTTCAGGGAACCCTTCCAGCTTGGAGTGGTGCTGATGGAACCCAAACCCAACCTCCCACTGCACCTCAGGCACACAATGTTCTGCTGCCCACAAAGCCTGGGCTGGCAGGGTGGCATTGCAGCCCCTGGGCAGTGCTGGCTCTGTGTCAGGGAGCTCTGTGGCATAGGAAATRTGGATACTAAACTGAGCTTTCCTTTACTTTTTTGCTTTAAGACAATCCTTTTACTCTGAGTCCTCTCACTGGGTTCTCACTAGCTGAGTCCTCAGTGTGAGGTCAGTTTGCCATTAAGTTGCAATTGCTTGGGAGATCAAACTCATTCCTGAGAAAGAGCTAAATAAGGACTTTGAAACATCAGATTTCACCACAGGTGAGGGRAAATGGAAGCTCTGAGGCAGCAGCTCCAAAGCCACAGCAAAGCTCAGACAAGCTGCTGCTAGCCCTAACACCAGGGGCAAATAACCCAGGGCTGCTCCCTGACCTCTCCCCGCTGATGCTGCTCATCGTGTCCAGCTGACACCTCTCCTCCCCAGCCTGGGGCTAACAACAACGTGTGCCTTTGGAAGCTTAACCACAGGCTGCCACGTGAGAACTACAYCCAGCACTCACAAGAAGTCTGGTGAGTGTAAACACAAGGACTATGAGGGGCAGARAAACCTACAAGGGACTGAAACGCATGCAACCAACCCCCCCCTCATCTCCGAGGGGACAGAACTCACAGTGGGAACGATCACACCCAACCCAAACCAGCGCTCCCCCACCACCCAGAGCAGGTTCTGCACCAGGCTTCGAGGAGGGAGACTGCGGGCAAGGGCGGCGTGAGGAAATGCAAGTGCCCGCGTGTTATTTGCAGAGAGCATCACAGTGGTTAGTGTCAGTTCGACTGGCAGGGAAGGAGAGGTGAGTTCACCAAACAGTACACAGCCGTGGCTCAGTCGGRAAGAGGAGGATCTAGGAGGAGGGAGTGTGTGCACCGCAGAGACAAGAGGTCTCCATCAGTCCAAGGACAAGGTGASATAGAAAAAAAAGGCCTGGGGAGTGTCACATTGCCCCAGGGATTCACAGTGCCAGAGCGAGGGGGGAAGACGTGAAAACGGTGGGCAGCTTTCCTGGATCCACATCTCTGCCTGCCAGCCTGCCCTCTCTGCTCCTCCCGCCTCACRGGCGGCCACAGCGCGTTACCCTCGTATCCGAGTAAGGAGATTCACAGTGTTCAGCAGCGATCAGGTACAAAAGCCGTTAAAGTCTACAGTCTCCTAAAGTGCTGCTGCCTTGGACGCGGTGCCTACGYGGGCTCAGGGCGAGCAGCTGGAGGAAGAGGGAGTTTAGAAGAGCAGACAGATCAGATCGCAAAGGCACGGTTAGACGGGGCGGACGCGGGCGTTTGCTTTAGAAGATAGTGGTCTCATACTTAGTGCTGAGGGTCCGCTTGGAGTCCTGCTTGGGGTCCACGACCCAGGAGACGCTGGCATGAGACTGGGAGTCTTGGTCCACTTCAGGGGGATCCAGCTAGAGGAGAGAAAGGGCGTGTTAGGTCACCCGTGCTTCTGGGGCAGAACGAGTGGGGAATCAAAGCACGGAGTGGCTGCTGCTCTGCCTATCGCCTGTCCCAAAAACGTGCATGTGTGCAAGGAAGCAGCTCTTGCTGGGGAGGCATTTGAGTCCTTCACAGCTAAAATGTGTCTGGCCATGTCAGTCTCAACCCAGCACCCCAAGATGACTCCCTGCATTAGGCTGTGAGTCCCTGTCACCATCAGTGACAGCTTCGCTCATCTCAAACGAGCATGAAAAACGGAGCGCTACAGAAACGGGACAGAGGGAAACAGCTCCTGGCAGGTGAGCTCCCACGTGATTCACCCTCCTGACCAGGCACGGATCTTTCCTCTTGTCCTCCTAAATCAGGGTGCTAAGGGGAAGTTAACAGCCCAGCAAGAGCAGCAGGGTGAGCTGAGAGCTGCCACACTGCATCAGCAGGGGAGGGTGGGAGCAACAGATCCTCGGGGTTCATCTGAACCCCCGGCGTGGGCCGGAACGAGCAGGGGGAGGAACAACAGCGAGGCAGGACAAGGGGACACAGCAGGAGACATGGCGAGTGGGGAGGCAGCCCGGGTCGGTTCGGAAGGGAGGATGGCAGGAAGAAGGGTAAAGACCTTCGCTCCAGGACTAACAGACTGCAGCGGCAGGTAGGAGGGGCGGTGTGTTGTACAGGTGTGACAGTAACAACAGCGGGTGTCGGGAGAGAGCGGCACCTGAGCGGGGGGAGCAAGCAGAACACAGACAAAAGGACACATTAAAGGAAGGCAGTGGCTTATGCAGCAATCCCTGCTCCTCAGCAGCTCCAGTCTTGGCTGGTTTTGGCTATGGGGAATCCCACACTGCAGCTCACATATGCATCTCCCTGCAGCCCTGCAGGGTTTGCATGTGGAAGCTGTGCTGGACCTCATCCCACCCGGGCTATTTCCACCTCTGCCTGCCCTCCTGCTACCAGCTGGGGCCCCAACCCTGCAGCAGGACTGGCACAGGCACAGACCTGCAGTGCCAGCAGGATGGCAGGCACCTGGACCACATCTGGGTTCCCCCCACCACCCAGGGGATGTGTAGGGCTGTGGCACCTACAAGAACCCCCAGCCCAGCCCAGCAGGTCGCTCCTGCCTGCGCACACGTACCGCGGATTTCCTCATGCCTGCTCGTGGTTTAGGCACCGGTTTGGAAGATTTTGTTTCRATCATTTCTCCTGCTCCAGCACCCAGAGGCTTTGCTCTCTGGGCTTGCAGGGCGAGCTGGTAGGCGACCTCGAAGGCCTGCCCCAACGTGAGGATGATCTCGTACGTCAGGTTCTTCGAGAGAACACAGAGAGCACAAAGCCGTCAGATTACCCTGTGCACAGTCCCCCCTCAGCTGCTCTGGGGTCACGGACCYTGGCAGAGCTGATGCCTTCCCATCAGCAGATCACATCTTATGTGTCCCTGACAAAGCCACTGAGCTTCTGAKGCAGGGGAGCTGGGACCCTGCTGCCTCCCCCAAAGCCCACCTCTGAAGCCCCACCAGCACTGCAGCTCAGCAGCGTAAAGAAAAAAAGCTCAAAAATCCWGTGCAGTCCATTCTGCTCAAGTATAAAAGCAAATCATGCTCTACCCTGTCTGAGTTAAAAGGTTCTTAAATCAGCCCGTCATGCTCAACATAATTGAGAGCATGTTAGAGGTTTGTGCATGGCACATTCCTCAAGAGGGAAAGCTCCTGCCCTGCTTTATTTAGACGGCAGTAACAAGCCAGACAAATATTCTCTTTGTCCACAGAGGCCCAAGGTAAAGGTATTTGGAACCAACACTCCATTAAGGTAGAAATGGGTGAAAGAACCCTGGAAAGGAGCAGTTCYTGGTCTGTGACTCGCCAATAAAACTGAAGGATGAAACAAACAGGCTGTGAAGGACTGGGAGATGTGACMTGACAATGCACTCACCACATCCACAGTGCTGAAGACATGGCAGTAGTGATGGCTGGTCTGCAGGTCCTTGGTGATGTAGGCAAACGTGCAGAGATCCTCAGGGTCCTGAGCAGCACAGGAGATGTTCCGGATCTCGTGTTCAGCAATGACATTCTGCCGGGGTCAACCACAAGCACCCGTCACCCTTCTGGGGATGGCAAATACAGCCAGCAAACAGCGGCTGTGGAGGGTGTCCTGGGGACAGGGAGGGGTGCTCTCCCAGCCAGACCAGTCCCAGCTCCCTCCCATGGCAGGAATTGATGAACATGGTCCACAAGCAGCTGGTCTGCCAAGCCTTTGGCACTCAGGTAATCATCACCACCTTGGTATTCTCCCCCAAGCCCAGAAGCTCCTCAGGACCAGCCATGGCTTCTGGAGCCACCAAAAGAGACCTGCAGATCTCAGGCAGATGGAACTGCAGGTCATGTCCCTCTAGACAGCAACTCTGAGGCATCTGCAACTCACCTTGTTGGAGGCATCGATGAACTTCACCCCTTTGTATGTGATGGACAGGATTATGGTTGGGATCTTCTTCATGTGCTCAGTGGATTTCTTAGGAAGCAAGAATATTCAAGTGACCAATTGTGAATGGATGCTCCCAGCACTCCCTAGAGACTGCCAGGCCCATACAGGCAGGTTTGGGAATCTGGCACCAGGGGGAGGAAAGTTAGCTCCTGGTGGAAGCGGAGGGTGAGGGAACAGGGATCTGAAGAGACCCCAGCCATCACATCCACAGTGAAAACACACCCTCTCCCACTGCACAGACTTTCCAGCTACTGGGAACAATGCTGGGAAGAGGCAGTTCACCAGTGGCACTGCCTGTYGGGTGGCCTGGGCTCCTGCAGGGTTTGGGGAACCACTGAGATCCCCCTCCCCACTCCCCATCATCCACACAGGCTGCAAGCGAAGTCCCCGGCCCCAGGTCTCCATACCCTCATCTTGGCACAGGCATCCTGCGTAGATTCTGTCCCTCGGAGGTCTTTGATCAGCATGGAGCCCAAGTACTGTGAGAAGGAGGSAGAGGTGTTAAACTCTGCCAATCCYGAGGCAACWSCWCTGCCCTGAGACTCCACACTCAATGACCCCAGAGCCTCCTCATCCTCRCCACCCCCACAAAGCAAAAGCCACTTACGTTGGCCTCGTACCCGCAGGACTCGAAGATGAGCTTCTCGGGCTGGTGCTGCCAGTTTTGGACTGGSGCATACGGGGCTGCCAGGCTGGGGGGGCGCAGGGTTAGCTTGGACTCCCGACGGTCCTCCTGCAWGGGAAGAAACACGGATGTTGTGAAGTCACAACCGGTTCAATCTGGGCTGAAACAGCTCTCAGAAGGGCTCTTTGGGCTGAGGGGATTGACGTTGGCAATGGCCAAGTCGCCCAGGAGCTGGGCAGACGCAGCACACAGCGGGTGAAGGTGCCAGCACTGATGGAAGYCTGAGCCATCAGTTCTTGAGGTGAAACKGAGGCATAAAAGAGCTGCTGGCTCYGATGTCTGAGGGAAGCTGAGCCTGACCAACTCCCTCCCTGCATCATCTTATCTCCTCCCTGGCTCTAGAGAGGGTGGAACCTTCAGAGAGGGCCCCCAAGGCACCCCACTGACCTGTGCTTTGTAGCGCTCAACTCTGGAGTAGGGAGCRATCTCAGTGCCACGATCGTGTTGCCTCTTGGCAGTGTCCCCACAGGGCAGCAGCAGATCAGCAGATCTGCCTGTGCATGAGTCGTTCTGGCTCAGGGGCGATGACGTCTGGGACATCAAGTCCTGGCACTGGAAGGAGCAGACACCACGAAAGGTCCTRGTCAGCTCAGGATGTGCCGCCCATCACTCCCTCCCTGCCCGACACAGAGTGCAGTGAGTGGACTAATGGGGTCAGSTCCTGCTCTGGGCGCTTCTGCCTCAGTGCCAATCCCACACTTCACCTTCTGCACGAGACACCTGATTTGCTCCAGGACTGTTTTAGCCACGTACCCAGCCCCTTCTACCTGGAACACCTCTGCGAGCTCATCCCAGGAGGGCAGGGGACACACAGGGCTGSGGGCAAGGTGATTCCAGAGGGGTGGGCTGCCCTAAAGCAGAGCTAAGCACCCGAGGGCAATGATGAGCAGCCACCCCAGCAGAGGAGCCCCAGGAGCCGCCGCCAGAGCGCGCCCAGGCCCCGCAGGCACGGCCGGAGCTCGGCACAGCTGCGGCCGCATTTGTCCCATTGAAGCCACTCGCTTGATTTGCCATTGATGTCCGCCCGCCCCCCGCGCCGCTGTGCAGCCAGCGATGGAGCACACCAGCTGCAGAGCCAGGAAATGCTGCAAATGGCCCGTTCTCCCACCCAGCCTCCTCCCCRGGCAGCATCTCAATCAGCTGAGCCGCACCAAAGCAGCCCTCTCCCCTCCTGAGCCCAGCTGCCTTCAGCTCACGGTCCACATCCATGGCTGCTGCTCACATCCAGGCTGCCTGACGAGGGGGTTGAGCAGGGGGTGAAGGTGCAGGGTCTGTGTGCCCTGCATGCACTCCCAAATGTGTAGAACCAGTGTGAACACTCTYTGTTCTCACACTTGAACCCAGTTTATAAAAAATCCCGTGTCAGCAAGCACGGCACAGCAATGCAACTTGCTTCAGCTATGGCTGTTTGGGTTGGAAAGCCTTGGGAATCCAAGGCAAGAGGGCAGAGCTCTGCAGCAGGGCAAGGACCAGATGTTTAGGATGGGTAAACTCCAATCACTCCAATTCCTGCTCCAGGAAGCTGATTTGCAATCTCTGGGAGGAGACAGCACTGCCCCACTCCTGAGCTCCCAGGGTCTCTCTGAGCTCAGCGGCTTTTGCCAAGCTCAGCTCTCAAAAGCCAGTTCTCAGGAAGCACAGGGAATGTGACGCCTCCCTCCCAGCCAACCCCYGTAACAAGGGCCTGACATCCAAATGCTGCCGCTCCTGCAGCAAAAATCAACATCCACACATCTTGTCGAGTGCTATTTGGCAGCGAGAGCAGGAGCTCTCAGCCGCCCAGCCGGGCCAGGGAGAGGGTCCAGCTGCCAAGGGTGCAATCAAACACCAGGCCCCAGCTGCAGCCCCTCTGCAGCTGGGCTGGGTCACTCCTGCCACTGAAGGCTCCCACATCTCTCACCAGGAAACAAAGGCAAGAAAGTGGGCTCAGAGCMCCCCTGGTGCAGGGCAGAGGTGGGAATGGCACCCTGCACCCCTTCAGTGCAGAGAGGCATCTGATCCCAAGGGGCAGCCTGACCTTTTCCATAGGGTCAGCATCCCGAGGCTGACCTGCAAGGGCTGGAATTATCTTCCCCCATTCACTGCAATCACAAAGCTGCCTCTACACAAGTATTTGCTGCCTGGGTGGCTGAAGAGGATGAGGTGAGGAGCTGAATGGAYAGCACTGGCCATGTCAAGATTTTTCCCAGCACTGATACACGAGCCAGGCAGGGACCATGAGCAGGGACTCACTCTCAGCTGTGAGAACCGTGGTGGCTTGGCTGGTGGCTCCTCGTAGGGTCTGTCTGCCAGCGAGGCAATGATCCTCTTCCGATGGCCCAGCAGGTTCACTTTGAGCACCTGCAGGGAGAGACCACAGTCACTGTGGGTACAGAGCTGCTCTGAGAGCCTTGTGAAAAATTCCAGCCCCAAGGAACGGGGCAGAACCTTGTTGCCCTGGCAGGAGAGAGGGGACACTCACATTTACTATCTCAAGCTCCCAGAGGTTTTTCACAGTGTCGATAGAGCTGTAGCCGCTCGAGAGGAAGGACTGGATGTAATCCTGCAGCCCCAGGGAGTCGAGCCATGCAGGAACTGAGGGCTGGCTATTCCCATCRCAGCCCAGGGGTTTCAACTGTGAAAGCACGAGAAAGGTGTTAAAAGCTGCAGGAGCTGGAATCCCAAGGGATATGGGGTCAGTGACAATCAGTTTACAGGCCATCTCCACTTGCCAGTAACAAAATTACTGAAAAACAAAGAATGTACTTGGGATCAAGACTGGCAGCAGCAACAGTGCCAGCATGGAGCTACCACCATCCACACAGCCTGCAAGACCAGTACACTCCTCCCTGCTATTCCCCAGACCCTTCCCACATCCCCTGGCATTCCTCCATGGCCAGAGATTCAGGGTTCTGGCTTTTGATTCCCCTGTGTTCACAGCCACGCTTGGCAATGTCCCATCTTGGTGCTGACCTTCGGGAGGGAGCGAGCGGCCTGGAGCAGCTTCCGGCGGTGCTGAGGGTCACCGATGCCAATATCCCGAAGGTCCTGGTCTTCCATGACATTACAGCCCTGTGGGGACAGGAGGGAGTGATATGGGAGCAGGGGACAACAGGAGCCACATCAGGACTGTGAACGGACATGACACAGTTAMAGCACCCTCCTGACCTCACCTCCAGCACGTCCTGGTGGGAGGAGGAGGAGGAAGAGGAGAAGGAGGAGGAGAAGGATAAAGAGGGTTTCCAAGGCTGGGAACTCTGCCCCACAGAGTGACCTTGGCACAGAGAGAGGGCTGACACGAGCAGAGCTGCAGCACAGAGAGCACTGCCCTCCCCTCCTGCCCACAGCCTGCTCTGGATCTGCTGCCAGCCTTTAGCCCTGGRGCACGGCCCGCAGCCACCTCCTGTGGGATGGGACACAGGGAGGCTTTAAACACCCTCTGACAACACCCAGGCAAACCCCAGCCCCTCCACGCCCGAGCAGAGGCTCTCTGGGTTGTACTCCGTTCATGGCCACACAGAAACCTGCACCTCTTGCCCCAGCAGCAGGGGAAGGTCAGGTGTCTCCTCTGGCTCCAGGCAGAGGCAGAAAATGTTCGGGTCACCCCAAATTGCACTCTTAAAACCCATTTTCTGTCCCTACCCTGCTGCAGAGCTGAAGCACACGGACTCTACCCCCCATCACAACCTGCTTCCCTGCCCTCCTACCTGGGCAGAGCTCAGCAGGACACGTCTCCCAYGCCTGGCAGAGCCACGCTGCTGTGTGAYTGAAAGCTTCAGCTCCAGCCCGGACCCCCTCCCTGGCCCTGCCTCCCTCTGCTCCCCRGAGAGCCCCAGCAGAAGGTCTGCGCCGACAGCACTTCACTGTTCCACATTTCGGTTTTATAAGAGAAACCAAATTAAGGCCAGCTGCAGGGAAGGTGAGGGCAGGTGAGATTGCCAGGCACCCTCCATAAAGGGCAGCAAGGGGTTCCTACCCCTTCCCATTCTTGGGATTTCAGCACGTGTGCTTTGCTAAGCGCTACCTGTTTTAAATGCAGTGAGCTGCCTCCTCCCGAGTGTGTCCTTGCTCCTGGCCATGCCAGCAGCTGCTCTGCTCCTGCCCAGCAGCATCACTGCCACCTCCGTGACAAGTGTGGTGACAGCAGAGCAGGACAGCACACGGCTCTCTCCGCACGGGAGCTGCTCTTCTCTGGGCCACAGAGGAGCRTTCAGGCAAACAGGGAATTAACACCACGGATAAGAGATGCCCAGAGATGTCTCTGCATGCAGGAGGGCTGCCCCGCAGACCAAACAGTCATTTAGCAAACAGCAGTGGCAAACAACAGCGGGTGGCAGAGGCAGAGCYCTCAACACTCCCTGATGGGGCTCCTCTGCCTCCCCCTCCCTGAGCAAGTCAGATCCTGCAGATTCCTGGAGAGCCAGGGAGGGGGGATCATGACAGCCTGAGCTGACAGCCACACACAAAGGCATTTATTTGTCTGAAATTGTTTGAACAGCAGAAAGASTGGGGACTAATGGCTCTGCAGCCCACAAGGGGGGGGTTAATTCCCTGTTTTCCCAAAGGCCAGCTCACARACTGTGCTGGTTGGGGCCACTTGGTGCTGGGAAGAGCTGCTGCCACTGCCCCAGAGTGCCTGTGGACACCAGACCATGGCCAGACCCATCTGCCCTGAACCCACAGCCTGAGCTGGGACATGGGACACCAGGGACTCACCTGAGGGGTGACACTGCACGCAATGAGTGCTAAGAGGGTGGAACCACATCATGAAAGCTGCTCAACTGCACAAGAACAGTGAGTAAGAAGAGGCAGGTTGTTGCTGAAGGCTCCAGAGTGCCCATTGTGCACAGGCAGCAGCTCCCTTRGACTGGGAACAACCCCCCTGTGATTAACACAAGGAGCTGCTGCATCCAGGGCAGTGACCTCCGGCTGGTGGGCAGCAGCATCCCACCAGAAAGATGGAAACATCCCCTCCCCTTTCTTGTTCACAAATTTTTAGCCAAAGAGCCACATTTAATGTGCATTCCTGTAACAGCGGGAGACTGTGTGCTTGGCTCCGGCGAGGAGGGAAGGGATTAACGGGGATTAAATCCCCTGACAGACACCTCACCTGGTAGGAATGCAGCGTGTGTGCGAGGAATTCATCTCCCAGAGACGAGAGGGCTTCCAAAGGGCTTTTCGACATGGACAAAGAGGGCCAGAGCAAGTGATGGGATTTTCTCATAGGTTTGGAAAGCAAATGGAGAATGGGGAGGGACTGAAGTGCCCAAAGGTTATTGTCACAGTTCAGGTACCCCAAACCTGCAGCTCCTGATGTCTGAGCCTGCTCTGCTCCCTCGACCTGCCCATCTTGGTGCTCTGAGGCTCCATCCCCCTGTAGAGAGCCAGGGATGAAGGTGAGGGAGGCACAGGRAAGATGTTGGCAAGGGCAGAGCTCACAACCAGCCCTTCCCTTTGTGCCACCCGGACAGCAGGAACAGTTGGCAGCCAAATGAGCTGTGACAATGGTGACACGTAATTTCCATGTATAAAAACCAAACAAGCTTGCTGATSCTATTGACATTTTCACTCATGCTCACTTTCCACCGTTGAGCCCTTTTTGGTGCTAATCCCCTTTGGCATGGCCATGATCTCACATGAGCAGCACGGGGCTGGTGGCTCTCGCTCCCAAGGCAGAGCAATAGGTGCTCTCCCACCTTTGGCACCTCAAATSCAACGAAAATTGCTTGCTGTGGAGCAAGGATACAAGGTAGTTAAATACTGTGAAGCCTACAGCTTTCTCCTGCRCTCCTTATTTTTATGTGTCACATTAAATTCCCTCGGTGCCAGTCCGTATTCTCTGGGTACTTAACGAGGGTAGACAAAGCRTAGCAGCTCCGAACAAATCATTCCAGGCCCTGGGACAGGGGAAAYGTCCTTCAAACCCATCCGGATTTCATCTCCCATGAAAAACACTAATCTGCCACTAAAACAGGGAGTTAAATACAAAGATACTGGAGATCTTTTAACMTTTGTCAGCCACACAGATGAGGCAGACTTTAAACCCGTCTGCACCCAACATGCCCTGACAGAAGAGCTGCCCTGGCTGGGTCACTCCTGATTTTTGGCTTCACCCAAAGGTCCCCTTTGGTGCTGGCCACAGGTCAGCAGATGCCACGTCCCCGTGCCCCTCTGAGGGCACAGAGAAGCCCCAGCTCCCACCAGCCCCTCCCCAGGTCCTCTGAGGACGGGCTCAGTGGGGAGAGCAGGGCTCCTGGATGTGCTCTGCCATCAGCCCGGTCCTCCAGGAACCTTCAGCAGCAGCCTCAGAGATGCCAATTAGAATCAGAAAGACTTTCCCAAGACATGTTTCCACCTTTATTCCTTGTGACAAGTGCTTTTACCTTGCACGTTCCTCCTGGSTGGCCCAGCTCCRCAGGGCTGAGGGCTGCCCTGGGTCAGAGCTCTCACTTTCACCCACATTTTGGGGCACTGAGGGACACCCAACAGCCCCTTCATCCCAGCACCTCACTGTGTGCTCTGTCAGGGGCCAGCCCCCATGTGGGCTCAGCCAGAGAAGGGACAGGGGGTGAAATGCATTACTTGGGGCAGAACTCCTCTGCTCCACTGGCAACTCAAAGAGCTCAACCATCAGCCCAGTCAGACCCCTGAAATTGGATATGGAGAGTCCCACCTCGGGTCCCAGCTGACACAGACCTGGCCTTCAGCTTCCTCTGAGACAAACGCAGCCCCCTCTGCTGAGAGGCACAAATACACCACCCTGAAGGACCCTCCTGAAGCCTGTCTGTGCCCTCCACGCGGCCCTGAGGGAGGGCAGGGATCTGCCACTGACCCATGTCCTCACTGCGAGCCCTGTGGGAAGCCGGTGCAGCCGAGCCGCCGGCAGAGACACGAGATCTTGGAAAAAGGGCTGCCTTTGGTCACGCCTCACTGCTTGCACTGTAGTTAAACAGCCTGCGAGGMTCCAGGTTTCTCATTAAAGGAAAAAAGCACAGTCAGAGGTTACCTGGCAGAAGGAGCGTCCCCTCCCGCTACCGAGGTGACCCCAAAGCGACCGTGCCGAAGGCAGCGCTGCCRAAATCTGCCAGATTCCTCCTCCAGCAGGACACTCTGCAGGCACTTAACTACCCAATTTTCAGATGCTGCTTCYTCCCCAGAGCCTGGCGTCTGTCCACGCTCTCGTTCCAGCTAAGGAAGGGCCCGAGGCACCAAGTGTTCTGTGCAGGACGCGTGGCCGGGCCGGCAGCGGATGGACCCCGATGCCAGTGCTGCTCTGAGCACACCCTGCACGGGCAGTGATGGGCAGGACAGGGACCAGGACAGGGACCAGGACGTGTCTGCTACCAACAGCAACAGATGCAAAACCCAAACACAGCTTTGCCATACTCCAAAGGCTCCCACAGACACCCCAAGCAGAGAGACAGCTGAAGGCTCTCTGTGCATACAAAGTGCATACAAAGCTCTTTTCCTTTTTCCCCTCACTGCCTTCGAGACAATTTGCATCTTGTTGAGGATTCTGCTGTCACTGCTATCACTCTGCTTTTGGCAGCCTGGATGTGGGAGATGGAGACGTGTCCAGCTCACCACAGAGCCAGAGCAAGCACCCCACAGCTGGGCCCTGCACATGCAGATCCCAGAGCAAGGGGACCCTATTCAGTCATACAAATCTGTGTTTAAAATTKGCCTCGTGATCTGCAGGGTTTGGTGCCTTTCCTTCACAAAATCTGCAGTCTGGGGTATTTGAGTGAAACCAGGGGAAAGGATCTGTTTGGCCACGGGCACGATGACAAAGCCCCAGCTCTTCACAGAGCATCGACTGGGAAAGGGGCTCATACACAAAACCCTACAAAATAAATCTCAGATTAGCACACAGCCACTTCATTTTTGTTTAATTTTCTTCCCCATGCAGACTGGCAGCGTGACAATGGCAACGGAGGGGATCGGTCATGGTTGTCAAACTCAGGCAATTTTATTGAGAGAAAAAAAATGAACTGCAACTTTAATGGCTTTTTTTAATGTTTATGGGGCCTGGAGCTACTAATGAATCAAATGTAAGTATCCTCTAAATTGCC